AAGATCCTTTAAAAAAATTTATAATAAAATAGTCCAATCTATACATATTTATATCATATTTACATATTATTTATTATATAGTTATTATTAGGTCCAAATGAGTATTATTTTAATAAAAGCATCTATATTAATATTATAAATACAACTTAAGAAATATTAATTTCATAATCTCTTTTATTTATAAATTATAGGTTTAAACCCTCGGATGATCCTCATATTTGTATGAGAATCTCAAGTGGGTCCTCATTTTTGCAACTGTCTCAATTAGGTCATAGTATTTGTAAAATTGAGTCAATTTTTCCCTATCCGTTAAGTTGTCATAGACGGTGTTAAACTTTGATGACGTGATGCACACTTAAAATGCTGACTAGCAATATTATGTGAACACTTTATGACATGGCACAAAATTTAATTGGAAATGTTAAGGGATTGGGATTCCTCCATCGTCTTCATCACCCTCCATTGTCTTCATCATCCTCCATCATCTTCATCATCCTCTACCATCAATTCCGGATTGGGATTCCGGCCTAGGGCGGTGGCTCCATCGAATTCCGCCACCGGTCGGAACTTGTATATGAACCCGCGTCTGCAATAGCGATTTTACTCTGATAAATTAAATTTATAAATCAATTGGACCAAAAATCACAAACAAAGATGAAAAAAAATCACCATAAACGAAAGGGCAGAAGAATAAAAGAGAACCCTACTTCAATAAAATCAAGCATCAACACTGAAAAGGATCAGATAACTTTGCCAAAAGAAATTTAAAAGGAAGAAAAGAAAACATTTTTTCAAAACATAATCTTAGGATCACACATTCAAAGAAATACCCAGGAACATTCGCACATTAATAGCAACAGGGGTCACGAGAAAGTTAAGAAAAGTCTTCATCTGCAATTTTGACCACAAAATCAAGGTTTTTAAAATCACTGTAGACACAATTGTGTCACCTTTACGGGCAATCCCCCCACAACATCAAGAATATCGGATTTAAAATTTTGGACACAAAAACAGAGAAAAACAACCTATGAACACAACTTCTGAAGAAAAACAAAACTTGCCATGGTCCGTGAAAGTGGTCGTTGACCACTTGAAATCCCCATTTTGGGGCTCTCCCTTAATTGGGAGATGGAGCTTTCTCGAATGCTTACGTGATTCATTTGGAGAAGGAGCTTCCTTCTGATAAAGCGCAGATACCTACAAGATTGAAGGAGTTGGGGGATTTGATTGAAGCAGTTACTCTCCTAATTCACTTGCGATAGTTCACCAGCATCAACCTTCCTTCGTCGGCATTGTCCTGAAGCTCCTCCATTTCCAAATCCATGTCCATGGTTTCAAACCGGGTCATACGAGATCCGACTTTGGATCCACGCCGGCGCCGCTGATATACTTTGGCTAGACTGTTACTTCGCCAACGATGAATGTTTTTCCCACCGGGAACATCTGCCCCTCTAGAAAGATCTTGAAGACGGGATGGGGATGGTGGCCAATAAGAGTAATAGAAGCGATGTTTTGGGGTACGACATGGGGAACTACAACCACAGGAGCATAATGCGCGGCGGCGGGAAGGCGGAGCTAGTGAGCTCACGCGGCAGTGGCGCCACTACCAAACCTGTACCCAGAAAAACCAGAAATAACAGGAACCCCAAATCAATTCCATCATCGTCTTCGTCCTCCATGGTCGTTGTGATTCGCAAATCTCTACGAGCCTCCTCCATGGCAATAACAAGAATCCCGAACTCTAGGGGAACCCTTCCGCCATGAAATCAATCTCTTTCACTCCTCCACTACGTGTGTGACGATACAACCTTTTCCTCCCCTCTGCAGAATGAAAAACCCTAATTTGCCATGTCATAATTCTTTAATTTAAATAAAAATTTCACCTAATCAAACAATGCATGTTAGCATAAACACGTCATCAAAGTTTAACGCCGTTTGTGACAACTTAATGGATATGGCAAAATTGACTCAATTTTACAAATATTATAACCTAATTGAGACAGTTAGAAAAATGAGAATCCACTTGAGATTCCCATACAAATATGAGGAACATGCGAGGGTTTAAAGTTAAATTATATTCTTTAGAATCTTGCCATTTAATCCAAGATAAAAAAAAGTATTACCACGTTGCTTTTATTCTTCTTTTTATCCTCTTGCGACTCCATAGTCACCTCCACCTTCACCTCCTTCATCTTCATCCCCAGCTCCGCTCCTCCGCCGACGACACCTTCTCTACATATGTTGTTGGAAGAAGAAGAGAAGACGCGAGTAGAAAGACAAAAAGGTTCCCAAGTAGCAAGTTGAAAAAGAAAACAGAAGCAAAGAAAACCTAAAACTTGCCTTTGAGCTCGCCATAGCATTGACCTGATCTAGTTCTTTCAAAGTTATTCATCTATTTAAATTGTCGCCACCCAGATGCTGCTTTTCCTTTGTCAGATACACTTGATGAGCCAGCACTACTAGTGTCCTGGGGAAGTCAAAGAAATACAATTTTTGAAATCTTCAAGATTCTGGTAAGCATATTAAGTTATGTAAGAATTCATTCAGCGCCACTAGCTACAAATAACAAAAGCCGAGACAAATTCTATGGAGTTTCAGTCATGGATGCATTTAAAAAGGATACGCAATTCAAAACCTGAACAAAATTCTAAACTCAAGATTCAATCAGAATATCATAATAATTTCATGAAGCTTAGAACAAAAACTGTGGGGTTGGGAACAAAATGCGAGTGGACTCGTCCTGACAAAATGAATGATGTATATGAATGTGAGATAAGAAATGTTATTGGGATGATCGAGCAGGGAAGAGAAGAAAAGATACTGCCAAAACTCAAAATCCTAACTACCACCGCTCGGTCTTAGTCATGCACCGCTCGGTCTCGTTCATGTCTCCGCTCGGTTGCCAGGACTCAATCCACCCACCGCTTCACCGACCGCTCGGTCTCGGTCATGCCTCACTGGAAATGCATCCTAAGAGTAAAAGCTCCATTCAGGATGCACAACTCAATGCAATTGAAGTTTTCAAAATCAACAACACAACAAGTAGTCTCGTTGAACCAAATCCAGACCATCTTCCACAAACCCCTAATAAACAAATCTCAAAGAAGAAAAATAGCGGCACCAAGAGACCCCTAACTACTGAAGTTGCTGGTGCAATTTCCGGTGTCGTTTTCCTCTCCCTTATCATCGTTTTGTTCCTCATTAAACGTAGAAAAAACTTTCTGTCAGCAAGAGTCCTAATAAAAAATACGGAACTTCTCTGGGCAATGGCTCATCGTCGCTACCCACCCACCTCTACCGCCACCTCTCAATCGCGGAAATCAGAGCAGCAACCAACAACTTCGATAAACTCTTAGTCGTTGGCATGAGAGGTTTCAGTAACGTGTGAGCAGAGACTCTTCTGTAGTGAACGGAGACTCTCGAGAAATTACACCTCCAGCGGTGCAGAAGCCGCAAGCAGAGAGCTTTGGAGAGGGAGGGTCGATCACCGACGAGACCTTTCCCATGTTGTAGGCGCCGTGGAGCGGGTTCTCAACAGTAACGACAACCTTTGGGTAACCGTTAAAGATTGACTGGATTGACACGTTTCATAAAAAAATAAAAGTGACGTGGCTCGTTGTTTGCCACATCAAAGAAAACTTAACGTCGTTCAATTTTAAGACTAAAAATAAAAGTTTTAAAATTAAGAGGATGAAAATGAATAAGCCTTTCGAAGAGGGATAAAACCCAAAATTGTTTGATAGTTTAGGGACTAAAAACGTATTTAATATTTTTTTAATATAAATATTTATTTTAAAGGTATATCAAATCATATATCTTTTTAGATAGTAGTGTAAATATTTATTTTAAATGTTATATTTATAATTACTTTTCATTAATTGTAAGGAAATATTTTACAAAAGAAGAATTTTTTTTAGAAATATGAAATCAGTGTTTATTTCTATTTTCTTTCTGAAAATAACTCTGCATGAATAATATTTTTAAAAATAATTTTTTCTAATTTTTTCTTCGATTTAGTAATCATATTAAAAAAAATACTATCTAATAATTTTTTTAAAATCTTTTTACTATAAAACGGTTCAACTTATATTTATTTAAACTATATTTTTATATTATAATGAATTATTATAATATAAATATCGATAGTTGATAAATTAATTATTATTTATTATTTTTTTTATCATGTTATTATATTTTTATTATTTTAATAGAAATATAATTTCATATTAATTTTATAAATATAATTATTATTTTTTTAGAAAACATTATCTTGGTAATACATATACCTCTTGCACACTTTTAAATCTAACCTTTTTACTAAAGTACTGAGAAGTGATTGGTAACAAATATTCCATTCTTCTTAAAAGTAAAAATAATTCTTATAAGAATAATTAAACTTTGACCACAGTTTTTATAATATTTTAACACAATTTAAGTGTTATAAAAATAGTGAAATTTTGACAATATTTTTTATATTTTTTAACATTATTTATATATATATTATCGTATTATTGATTTAAAATTATTTCATAATTAATAATAATAATCGTTACGTAAATAATATTAAAATATTATAAAAATAAGGGTTAAATATGTTTTTAGTCCCTAAATTATTTGCCGTTTCTGGTTTTCGTCCCTCTTTCAAAGTAAGATACAATTTGGATTCTTTTCGTTCGTTTTAGTCCTCGGAACTTTGGTTTTAATTCTCATTTTGTTGCTAAATGAGGACCAAATTTTTAAACCGTGTTAGTTTTCGAGGATTAAAACGAACGTTTTCGAAAAGAATGAGAATCAAATTGTAACTTACTTTGAAAGAGGGACGAAAACCAAAAACGACCAATAATTTAGAAACTAAAAATATATTTAATCCTAAAAATAATAATCATCATGTAAATAATAGATATAGTGAAAAAGAAAAATGTTCTTTAAAGTATTATTTTATATAAATTATTACACACTTTTATAACATATATAAAAGAAAAACAGTGTGGGGAAGGACAATTGACAGTGAGTAGAATACTGCAGTCACTCGGTCTGCATCATCAAAATCTCATCCTTTCTCTATCTCTCTCTCCTATTTATTCTCCCTCACACCTCAACACTTATACACACAGTGTGCAGCAGCAGCAGCAGCAACCAGAGAAGATGGCTCTGCAACTATGGGAGACACTGAAGGAAGCCATAATTGTCTACACCGGCCTTTCTCCGGCCACCTTCTTCACCCTCCTCGCCCTCATTCTCGCCATCTACTATGTAATTACGGGCCTCTTCCCCTCCTCCGATCACCGCCACGAAGCCCCCCGCGACTTCGAGCCCCAGATGGAGCCTCTGCGACCTCCCGTTCAGATCGGCGAGGTCACCGAGGAGGAACTCAAGGTCTACGACGGCTCTGACCCGGAGAAGCCCCTCCTCATGGCTATCAAGGGTCAGATCTATGATGTTTCGCAAAGCAGGTACAGGGATGAAAGATCACTTTTTTATTTATTTATTTATTTTATTTTTGCCCTTTTTGTTTTTTGTGATTTTGGATTCTGGGTTATCGTTTGTTTGGTTAATATTGACTGATGACCCCCACTCAGCTTAACAAAAAGATCCCTTTAGTAATTTTTATGTTTTCCGCTCTTACCCTTTTTGTTTCCTGTCTTTTGGGGTTATGGGTTTTTGTTTATTTGGTCAACGGATGCATTTTTGTGTTCTGGGTTTTTTATTTCTTTCTTAGATGTGCATTTCAGGAATGGGCAAAACTTACATGCAGTTCTACATATGCTTTATAGTTTTGTTCCATTTCTTGTTAAAATTTGTGTTTGTCTTAATAATTGGCGTAATAAACGTCTGAAATTATATGTCAATATAGATTATAGAGGCTTCTAGTGTTGCTTTCTAGTGACAATTTGAGTTTGTTTTTGCTCATGTCAACAATTTAAAAGACTTTACCAAGGTATAACTGTACTTCCAATTTGAGAACACAGTCAAACATACCTGAGCAAATTGTATGTAAGTTTTTGTCGGAGAAGCACGAGTATCAAGGTTTCTTTCTTTTTGTTTGGATTACTTTTGTGAAAAATTGTCCCCTTTTCTGGTATGCTTTGGGTGCATTTCTTTTGTGCACATTAGTTGAATGGTGTTAGTGTTGACAGTTTGAAGAATTATGTGATCTTTTAGTTTCTATTTCGAACTTGGAGGTCTTGATTCTGTTTTATGGAGAGGAGTGAGTTAGCAACTAAAACTTGCTGTTGTCTACTATAACTTACTGTTATTTATAATGATGCTGTTATCTATATTTGTGGTCATTTTGTATGGTAAATTTTGGTTGCAAACGGGGAGGATACGAGTCTGCTCTGTTTTGAAATCACACGTTATGCTTGGTAGGAGTGGGAAGGTGGGAAATGGGAGGGTTGAATATTGGGAATGTGTATGGATTTGAATAATATTGTATTAAACACGTTGTTGAGCCTTCACTTTTCAACTCTTGGTCGACACTTCTGTTAACCTAGCCTAAGGATCTGCGTTTTATTAGGAGGAAAAGTGGGTGGATGGAAAAAGTATTGTCGACTGAAAATGACATTTGACCTAAGTTATGACCTTGAGAAAAAGTAACTTTGTCAAATTTTCCATCTTTCTCAACTGAAAGTCAAATATGCACTAAATGTAAAGTGACATTCATTTAAAGTTTTCCTCCTCCCAACACTGCTAGTTGGTGGGTATGTGTATATTGAAGGAAATGGATGAAATTGAGTGAAGAAGAAGTGAATTGAATGATACTTGGTTCCATTCATTGGGTTGTTTAAAATCTGATGGAATGTATTATGTTCCGTTTCATCTAGTATTAATATTGTTCCAGCAAAAAAATATCCTATCATTATAATGGTAACTTTTTTCTGTTCCATCCCATTTCATTTTATTCACCGTTGAAGTCAACAGTTGCTTTCACTTTGTCAGTTTGTTGAGAAAGTTGTCTGTCTTTCTGTCTATGCAGTGTTTATCTTCCAACGACTTTAACTGTAGTTTTCATGCATGTTAACTGGAACTTGCAAAAATATAGTATTCATATGTTCCTTAGTTTTAAGTGGTCTGAAATATTGATCAAGGTGGTTTCTATGTCAAGGGTTATCAATCATATTTTTCACTGTAGTGTTTCTGTCTCTAGAAATAGTGAACGTTTACATATTTAGTTTCATCAGGAAATTATGATTTTTGGGTTCCTAGGCCTGATAGAAATACTGATTTATCAAATTATGTACTTGATACATCTAACTCGTTCTATAAGGTAAAATTTCATTTTTTTCAGTTTGATTTGTCAAAGTTTCTGATTGAGGACTGGGTGGGTGTGACAGGGAGGGAGAACATATGCGTCTTGTTTGTCAATTTTCATTTAATTCTGATCACGCTAATTATCATTAAGTTGTTTGCTTTAACTTTTGGCTGCTCCATTTAGTCTGTTCTAATTGCCATAAAAGTTTTCAAGTCTTTAGTGGGAAATTGTGTCCTTAAATAACTTCACTTTGGCAATTTCTTTCATACTTGAAATTCTGATTTTCCTTTTCTACTCATCATCCATCACAGTTGAACCCAGTGAAGTCTTAAACCTTATTTCACCCAAAATTCATTAACAAAAATATTGAACTCCACCCAGAATAAAACAGTAGAAATTTTCTTCTGCAAACCGTAATTTCAAATCCAACTTCCTTCAAATTTGATTACATTTCCACAAAATTTTTTAACTTCAACTTTTATAACTTTTTCATATCTCAAATTAATCATATATTAAAACTATTTAAACAGAAAATAAGATTTGAGGGTTTTAGTATAGGTCTAAGAAAATTAAAAAGAGGACCAGATTTGTTAAAGATAAAATAAGTTTTGGTCATTGAAAAGCTGAAATACCAAGTAACTATCCCAAACCACATGTTTTAGAAATCAAACTGTGTAAGCTATGAAAGTAAATTAAGATTCTTGACCTATAGTCAAATAAAAATTTAGATGTAAATGAACCACAGTTGTTAAACTAAAGGAGGAATATTAGGTTTCAATAGAGTGATGCAACAATCCGGAAAAAAGGTAAACTAGGAAGTAGGTTAATCTGGATTAGAAGATTCAAAACTCGTTTTTCATCCCTTTCCCTTTCCTTTTGTCCTGAACAAATACAGGGAAATTGGGCCAATTTTCTATTTGGATGACGTGTTGGATACTACTGTGTTTTTTGCTTGGATGATTGGTTAGAAAGGGCTTGAATTCCACAAGAACTGCCGTTCAAACTCTACGAAAAGGAGTCACCTACAAACTTTGTCCTACGTATATCTTTTGTTAGTCAAAACAAAAAATGGTATTATGGTCAAAAAATCCAAAGCATACCTGATTTTATTGGTAGCTATGAAGAATATTATATTGATTTTTCTTTTGAAATCCACCAGGATGTTTTATGGACCCAATGGACCGTATGCTCTATTTGCTGGGAAGGATGCTAGCAGAGCTTTGGCAAAAATGTCTTTTGAGGAGAAAGATCTAACAGGAGATATCTCTGGGCTTGGCCCTTTTGAGCTTGAGGCCTTGCAAGACTGGGAATACAAGTTTATGGGCAAGTATGTAAAAGTTGGAACTGTTAAACCGAAAGTTCCAGTCACTGAACCGTCAGAATCAACACCCCGTGGTGCTGAATCTTCCAAGCCTACTGAAGATGGTCCATCAGAATCAGCTGATATTAAAAATGACCCGTCAGAATCAGCTGATATTAAAAATGACGAACCCCTCCCAAAGGTTGATGCTGATAAAGAGTAATAATAGTTGGATGAAGAAAGAGTAATTGTCTAGCAAAAACTTGTGAAAAAGACTCATCCTTGCCAAATGAATTCAGCAAATATAAGACAAGTTGTTAGTTTAGGCCAGCCCCTCTGTCTAAGTATTCTGTTTGATAAATAAGAAATTCTTGGTATTTATTTTCAGTTTTCCTGTGTTTAAGCTTCTTCATGTAATGTATGAGATCAAATCTGATATGGCATGGTACAAGGTAGAATCGTTTATTGTGATTGTACTTTGTCTCTCTTTTTCTTGGCATAATTTGATTGATTTCTCGTCTTATTAACCCTATGAATTAGCATGTAATTGATGCATTCATTTGATTGGACTATTACTATTGTGAAAGATCATAACTTCCAGAGATCATCAACTTCATAGCACGGTGAAGCGGTGAAGCACAAGATCTGATGTATATAAACTGGATCGTATTGATTAGAACTTCCTCAAACAAATTTTGCAATTGCCATGACTACATATTGCAATCAGGGTCACAGCCGATAACGAAAATCGTTGAGAAAAACGATAAAAGAGAGTCATAGTTAATCAAGAAAGTTACCAAAAGACTTCAAAACAAAGAAATGAAACTAAATTTGAGTTCACGAAATGAAACTTCAAACCTTCCGTTAAGTCTAGTTATATTTAATTAAATATACAAATTAAGGTAATCTTAAAAATATTTGATTTTTTCTTAAATTAAAAAAAAAAGATTGAACTTTGTCAAATAGTTATAAATATATTTTATTTAGATCTGACAAATTTTGTTTATTTATTTGTAGAAAATTTCTTTGTTGGTTCACTTTTATTTTTACTAACTTTTTATTGATCTAACATATATAGGATATTAACACATCTTGATATTTAAAAAATATTTGTATAAAAATATTGAAAACTTCAATATTAATACTTAATACAATAATTAATAGTTTTGTTACTAAATTAAAATTTGAATTATTAAACAAGTCTTAAATTCAACATATAATTAATAATTTATAAATTATTATAATTATTAAATATGAAATTAAAGTTTTAATAACCTTGTATATTTATCTTTAGTAATTGTTGCACACATAATGTTGTATGTTATCTAACATCCCATTTTAATAGTATAAAAATTATTAAAATGAAACGTTACATAGATGCTAATAAAATAACTATAAAACAAACTTATCACAAAAAAGAGATATACTTCTATATATCCATCTAACTACGCCTCTGCTTTACCCTCATCTCTCGTTGACCAATTGAAAAGACGTCTTTCTAAGCTCACACCATTTAAGTGATCATTGCAAAAAGAGAAGACAACACACAACATACAACACAAAAACAAGGGTAAACTAGTGATACAAAACAAATCAAAATATACATTAATATTTCACACATGAATCATATTTATCATAAAACAATCCATACATCTTAAACATGCCAAGACCTAGACTGTACCATCCGGATATAGTATGAATGTCGAGTTATGGCAGTTCGTGCACTTGTAGTGGTGAAACAACTAACACACCCCAAGCTATCACACAAGGTTAGTCCGTTAACCAATGCCTTAGGCCAAGGTAAAGTCTCTGAACTAGGACCTCATGCTACTTTCTCCACATGCTTCACCCCTCTATATTTGAGAATGAATGACCATTAAAGTCTGTAACGCCCCAATTTCAGGGTATCACAAATCATATTTAAAGTAAAATGAATAAAAAATATCTTAATACGAAAAAAAGGTACTAAATAAAATTTTGATATTTTAAATGTGAGGAATTAAAACAATGTTCTAACTCTACCAAAAATATAGTCTAATTACAAACTTCTGAAATTACTAAAATAACCAATAAATAAAATTAGCCCATTTACATTATTTCTAAAATGCATAACTCAAAAACTTTAAATAACCAAAGTTGTTTCCCCAGTCTCGCATATCTATCATGCCTCTAGAGCATTTGCAACATCCCTTGCTACTGTGAAACCAAGGGTCATACGATCATTGCAAAACACACACACAACCACAACACAAACAAATATGGGTAAACTACCATAGCACGACCAATAACAACACAATAATGTTATTCTTACTAACTTAATCATTCCCACATCATGATCGTCGCCAACATCATCATCAGTTATACCATAATCATACCATTAATGTTATCCTTATCAACAATGTGTCCAAACACATTGTTATCACGAATCATCAACACATGTACTTCCATAAGGACTATCCTCGTCCTCATCATGAGCATCATCAATCCATGAACCTCATCATGAAAGGATACGTCACACTCTTGTACACTACCTCACCACACTTGTAGCCTCCCTTATAGGCCACCTGTAGCCTCCCCTACAGGCCCGCTCGAGCCGTCTCGCCATCCTTGCTAAAGACATGTTTCCTTGCTACACAAGGACTAGGCGAAACATCGTCCCCCATACAAAGAAGGTTCAACACTCGAACATCTCTCTTTTCGCACACAAGGACAAAAAGAGTCGATATCACGTATCACACGAAACGTAGTCTCAAGATTTACTAGGCACAACAAGTAAACACATTCCCTCATGTCTCTTGCTCATTGATCAACCACACATTCTAGTACAACTCCAACACTCACTCACCCATTCCAATCATCACTCAAAGTTCATCATATTCCTAAACACAACAACTATTCTTATTCTCTGCCTAACATTATTCATTCATCATTATCTAAAGTCTCATTCAAAATCCAATGTGCTCAATATGGACCTTTAATGAGTTCACTCCAAATATAAGTTACAAAATAAATAAATAAATATCATTCAATATCTAACCAATATTAATAAATCATTTATTAGTCTAATTAATCATAAAAATCTCATTACTTTCCTTTTTAAACCAAATTATCTATTTCCAATTTTATTTTTAATTAATTTACTTTTCTATTAATTTAAAATTTCATTACTTTCCTTTTTGAACCAAATTAATTTCTATTTCCAATTTTATATTTTAATTAAATTGATTCCCAAATAATTAAAAAAAATCTCATTACTTAATATGAGTCTCACAAAGTCCAACTTTGGGCATGTGCAGGCCAATTGTGTTCAACCCGCAGCAACCCAAGGGCTCAATGCCATCCAATCTGAACCTATGCTCGTTGTTACTAGCTACCTCGAAGGTGGAAACCACCACGATCAGACCCAAACGCCGAACGAAACCAAGCTCTGAAAGGTGTAAGCTCGAGAAACCCAAACTCAGATCAACACGAAGAACCAAAACCCTAGACCCAAATTCAAAAACGAAAACCTTACCTTCTCAAATCGCAAAATCAAAAAACAAGATCAGAAGCTCCAATTCACGCCTTGAGTCAAGGTAGAAATAATGAAATCCCAACTCAAACGAGAAATCATGAAAGAAACCCAATATTTGAAAGCCCGAGTCCCCAAATTCCCAATTTCAAAAACCCTAATTTCAATCCCAAATCGAAATCCCCATTTCAAACCTTGGTCCAAAAATGTGAGACCAAAACCTTCAAGGAATAAACAACAACCCAAATTTTCCCTAATCAGAAACAAGATCAGGAGCCCTAAATTGCAAGATTGAGACCGTGATTCACTCTACTTCCATCGTCGATACCCCTCGCAACGGGTCGTTGCCGCCTTTGCCAGCCACCGTCAAGTAGAGACCCTTGTCATGAAATGCAGAAACCCTCTCCCTCTGCAAAATGAAAAGGAAAAGGAGGAAAGGAAGGAAACCTCCCTCCTTGCGTCGCAAACTAGAACAGAGGGGAGAAGAATAAGAACGGTCAATGCGCCCTCGCGCCATTGCCGCGTCGCAATTGGGGAAAGAAACTCTTAACAAAGTTTATGAGAAAAATCAACAATTGAGCAATTAGGAATTCTAATTAAAGTTATGTAATTTTAATTGAAAAGACTCCATTTTTTTTAAGAGTAATAAAGAGAAAACCCTAAGCCACTGTTATTAAAATTTCTCTTCCCAGATTAATTAAAGATGTAATGTATCCATGGCTACCTTAAGAACAACCATATGTTCCAATTTATTTAAATTTGAGAACCCATAATTATTTATAATTTTAATTAATAGGAAACCTAAATTCTCAATTTATTTCTATATATAATTAAAAGAAAACCTAATCACTAATTCATAGTTTCCAATTTCCACTTTCATTTAATTAACTTTTCAAGGCATTAAAAGAATTGCATGTATACACAAGAAAGAGAACCAACATTTATGAATTCAAAAGCAGAGCATATTTATGGTATAGAAACTTTCAAATCACCCAAATATATCACCAATATTCTAACAAATAATTCAAGGTATTCATAATTAAATTAACAACTACGGAAACAATTAATTGAATAAGGATAATTTCCTATAACTTGGTCAATTATAGAGCTTTATCGATAAAGATCAATCAACCATTATGCACCTCAAAACACAAAGGGTAAAAGATATTCTTACCCTCAAACAAAAATATAATTCCACTAAACAAAGGTATCTCATAAACCTCTTTAATATGATTTGAACTCACAACCATTTAATCCTAGACAACCATCTCAACCAACAAACCAACACATCACATTGAGAATATTACACATCACAATTTAGCAACCATACAATAACATGTGTTGCACTTATATCAACAAAATAAATTAATAACATAAAAATTTACGTTCAAGTCAAGACTTGAACACGTGACCACTTTGCCCATCAAAGAGCTCTAACCAACTGAGTTACACAACACCTTATGAACTCTTGTACATCTAATTAAACATACTCAAGTCTTATTTATAAGCTCTACATTTTCTTAGATCTTACAGAGTGTCAGGATGAACCCTAAGTTTGAGTTTCCTATATTCATACTTACAATACTTGGAACTACAAACAAGAAGTTCCACCTTGGAACTCTTTTCCATAACTTTCCACTAAATATCTATATAGATACACATTCAAACTTCATGTATCACAACACAATCCATATGAAACCATTAGATATACATCAAAAGATACAAAACAGTGCATAAAAAAAATCACAGAACACTCTAAAACTGGAAAACCCAAAAACATGACAAAGGGCGGCCAACGCATGGAAAAGGGGCGCCGAGGCACTAAAAGCCACTGGAAAGGGTGCTCAGGAGGCGCTCAAGCCCAAGGCTTGCGCAAACAAGGCGCTTAGAGGATGCTCAACATCACACTAGAAATAGATATACCTCTAATATGACCTTTTCTACCCTCTATACAAGTTTAGTTGGTTTTTAAGACCTTCTAGACACTGAGAGACATCTCAAACCACATCTTTAACTCCAAATAACTACCTCAAACCCAACTTGACTACTCTAAACTTACCC